TAGGCATTATATTTTCATATCTTATTATAGTAAATGAGGATAACTTCTCTTCAACCGCTGTCACCTATATTTTCCCTACATATGCTCTCTACATAATATTTTTATGTATTTGGTTGAATCATTACTCAAATTAATATGTCTTTATGTATTGATCAAATAGTATGTTACCTTTCTCATTTTTTGAAGTTATTGATTGCATTTGTGTCTTTGGTAACCGTTTTCATAATTTTCAATTGCCTTTGGTATAATTTTCCACACACCTAATCCAATCACTTTCAGTTATGTTTTCTTTTTTGGTGATTTCTGTTTCCTTCTACCTGCACTGATTCATCACTCAGCCCTGCTCCATAGCTATTAACCTGGGATCTTCACTGATATTCTGAGGATCATTTTTCCTGTCTCCCAAATTGGATCACCTGGTGCTGAATCCCATGTTTTTCTTTGTTATTTCATTCACTCATTTTGGTTCCCTGAATGTCTCTGAAGCTTCCTGATAACAAGCACATGGGAAATAAAGTGAGCCTTTTTGTGTCTGCAAATGTGACCTTCACACTTGATTGTTTCATTAGGTTTAAATTCCAGATTGGAAATAATTTTCCTTCAGATGTATTGCTTCATTATCTTCCAGTTTCTAGAATGTTTTTGAGATATCCATTTTGTAAGTGCCCTTTTTAAAACCTGTTTTTACTTCTTGGTAGCTTATAGAATTTTATGGGGTTTTTATTTCAAAATACTTTAGTGGTATAAAACTATTTTCATCCATTGTGCAGGTGCATAATGTCAGGTCCTTTTAATTTAGAAGGTTTTGTACTTATATTTTACAATTTTTTTCCTTCAAATTATTTAATTGCAAATTTCTTCCTTCTTTATTTCTCTTTCACATCTGTTTTTTATTTCCTTTTTTAAATTCTGCTTTCAGAAATTTTCCATTTTAGCTTACAAACCAACCTACCTAGTAAGGATTTACATTTTTAATCATTTTTAATTTCATTAAGCTCTTCACTTGTCTGAATATTCTTTTGTTATAGCATCCTGATCCTACTTCGTGAATGCAGTGGGTTCCTCATCACTCTGAAGATGGTAATGACAGTATTTTTTAAGTGTTTTCTTTCCCTTAAGTAATACTAGTTTTCCCGAGTTTCTTTGACTTTATTGGACACTAAATTTTATGACAGGGTTTTTTCCTATATGTTCATGTTTAAAAAGCAATTAAAAGATGATTAAAAAATTTAATCTGAGTATGGAGCATGTTAACCTTTTCTTTTAGATGATGTGGTTTTGTGGTGTGTTAAAGAGCCTCTGATATTATAATTTTTCAGCCTTTTTTATTTATGCTGGTCAAATTTCCCACAGAAGATTCTTTCATTCTTCTGCCTAGAGGATAAAGATTTACCTACCCTCTTCCTTGGAGCTGAGTGAGGAAAGTTTTCAGTTTGAGGAAGGTGGGATTGCAACCAAGACTGTAACCTGTTTAATACAGCTTTCATCCAATCCTGTATTTTACTGCTTTCCCTGTAGGTTCAGGTTCTAGTTACCTGACTGACTGTTACGTTATTATTATTGGAGACAAAATCTCACCATTACCTATGACTTAATAACAAAGATGTTATATGGGGTAACTAAACTAAGAGTTTCAGTCTCTGTGCTTTTGTATTTGCTAAGGCAGAAGAGAAGAGAATGTGGTAAAATTTACCCTACCCATTAAAATGCCCACCACAGGGAACATTCATATCATATTAGCCAAAGTAAGTCACAGGGCCTCTCCTGACTTCAGAGCTGCAGAAAAGTACAGTCTTGTAACATGTTTGGGAGGTGAACCAGAAATGTTTGTTGAACAGCACTAACAAGTCTTTGCTTTGGTGCTGATAGATAGTTCCACAATCTTATTAACATTCTGCATTGCAGATTGGGTTGTTTTCCCGTTTTCCCTGCTGGTTTAGTGCTTGTGTTTTTGACTCTGATAAACTGGTTACAACTTGTCCATGTTGATGTTACCATTGTCTTTTCCCCTGTCCTTGCTTTTACTTGTTATAATATCTTAAAAAGAATTTTAGCTTTAGTAATGCTTCAGGAAGGGATGAAATTGTGTGCATATATTAAATGTGTTATGTTGACCAGTAAAACCTTGGTTGTAATTTTCTATAAAATGTACCGACTGCTAGTTTTCCTTAACCTCCCATGCCCCATATTCAACAGCTTTCAGTACATATCTTATGTCCTCTACCTGAACAAATGTAGTGTATTTCAATATTGCTGACTTTCTATCACTCTCTTTTCCTTTCCTTGTACCCTGAGTTCCATAGAGTAGTTCCACTATTACAAGTGTGTTCTACATATAAATGCGTATATAATTGTGGTTTAAATAATCTTTTGATCATTCCAATTCTCTCCATATGTTGGATTTTAAAAAGTAATTCTGATGAAAGGAGAATAAGAACTGGTCAGTTGTTGACTCTTGAAAAAAGCTTAATTTCCCAAAGATTTATAACTTACTTAGATGTTGAATCTTTCTTCAAGTCAGAAAGAGTGAAGTTCTTTGCTTTTATCAAAAGTGAAGTAACTGCTGATCTACTTGTTCTAACCCATAATCTACAAAAATGTTGCTTAATAATCACAAACTTCATCAACAGGACTTCATTGCATCTGTGGCACAAACACTTTTGAATCCCTAGGTTTCCTGACACATTTGCTTTTTACGTGGTTGGTCAGTTGAGGAAAGGTTGGACGGCTATGCTTCTATAGGTGCGCCAGCCTCAGAAGGGGTTCCTCAGGTATTCGCCACATGTGATCTAATTTACTGGTTGGCCTTCCTGGGCTTCTTCTCACATCACAGCAGTAACAGGCTTCCAAGAGAAAAGCAAAGAGTTTTAAGTTCTTGACTTAGATTGCCACTAAATGACTTTTGCTGCATGATATAGCCAGTGTAAGTCACAAGGGCAACCCAGATTCAAGCCATGGGAAGTAAACTCTCCTTGATTGGAAAATTCATGACTTCAAATTGCAGACAGGATGAGGATACAGGGAGTAACAATAACAAGGCTGCATTTGTCAACCCTTTCTTTCAGACTGGTCAAGTGATTGACAAAATAATTTTTGATGTTAAAGTACATAAACTGGGCATATTACTAAAGGAATTTAATGAAATGAAGAATTTATATCTAAAGGAACATAACATTTTATTCCTGACTATGAAAAATTTCGTTAGTGGTTACATACAAACGATCAATTTTCGACTAATGCCTGACTCCTCTCCTTCAAAACCAGTTCATCCAGGTTATCAAGACATAATTTTAATAAAATTTTGCTTTTTATATTTAATAATTACTTATAAAATTTAAAATATATATTACTTAAACTGTATGTACTATATTCATAATAAAACTCATTTCAGAAGCAAAAACTAATACTTTGAGCTCTGTGTATTGCATAGAAGAATAAGAGGATGAATTTTTTTTACAAGAACTAGCAAACATAAGAATATATTCCATTAGAGTAAAATTATGTGTGAAATGTGGGATTCGTATGTGTTAAAGGAGGAAAAGAAATAGTATGGTATTTATAATGGTTCAAAGAAAGCTCATTTACATGTTTTAGGTTTAATATTGGTAAACAGCAAATGAGTATTCTATCGAATGCAATTAAAAGAATATTGCTATCTTACTTTAAAGTGTTATTACTTACAACATGACATAAACTATAATCTTTCCAATTGTCATATTTAACATGGAAATTTTAGATGTCACCTGAGATGTAAGGAAGATTACACAGTAAAAAATATGTATGTATGCATCCATACATGTGTTAGGATTATGAGGAATAAAGAAATCTCTTTTAAGATGATTTTGGAGGTTCTCAGGACTCCATCACCCCTGAAATCTTATGGTGACATCACTAGTCTTCAATGCAGATATCACTCTTGACATGAAGTAAACATCATGGATTTTTCTGAATATACCAATGATTACTTTTCATTATAGAAATAAATTATAAAAACCATTACTAATTTTATTTGACTCTCTATCATTGAAAACTAGCATATTTTCCCCAGTGAATATCATTGAGACTTTTTTTTGGTATGGTGCTATAGTTTGAACTCAGGGCCTTGCTCTTACCAGGGAGGTGCTCTACCACTTCAGTCGTGCCTCCAGCCCTTTTATGCTTCTTTTTTTTTTCAGAAAGGGTCTTGCTCTTTTTGCCCAGGCTAGCCTTGAGCCATCCTTCTGATCTCTGCCTCCTAAGTAGCTAGGATTATAGTCATGTGCCATCATACCTAGCCAGAGAGCTTGCCCTCTTAAGATCTGCAGTCCCACTGCTCCCTATGGTAGCCCATAGATACACATGGCTAGTCAAGGTTGAGTTGCACTGTAAGTGTAAAATACATTGGACTTTGAAGATTTATCACAAAAAATGTAAATATAAAATAGCTTTTTTTATCCAAGGTAACCTTTTGGCTACCTTGGATATATCAGGCTTAACACGATACATTACTAACATAATTTTATCTGCTTTTTACTGTTTTAATGTGGCAACCAGATTTCTAAAATTACATACTTGGGTTACATTATATATCTATTGGGCAGTGCAGGTCTGGCCCAAAAAGCAGGAGAGCAGGAGAGAACTCAGAGTCCCCTCTGCTATCTAGCCAAGAGTTGTCTTTGCAGTTCAGTTTCCTCCTGGGACCTGTCTGTCCTCATGTAGTGGAAAAGCACAAGGCTTCTTTTTCAGGTGATAACTTCCTCCATTTCCTTATAGGTCTCCTCAGGATCAAGGTATCACATAAAATTGTTATCCAAGAGACGCACAAAAGACAATAAAGAAATGGGGAGAAATGTCTTCACATTGCAGGTGGCTAATTATAGGCATTTGTTAGTGGGAGGTCATTGAAGATGACCAGAAAAGGAAGTTCCTGGAAAAGATTGGGTATCCTTAGGAGAAAGTATGTGCCCTGAAAGCCTTTATTTTGAAGGGATTAATTGGCCCTTTGTTTTTGATTATTCCAGAACGTTGTGATGACTGGGGGCTAGATACTATGAGGCAAATCCAAGTATTTGAAGATGAGCCAGCTCGCATCAAGTGCCCGCTGTTTGAACATTTCTTGAAGTTTAACTACAGTACAGCCCACTCAGCTGGCCTTACCCTGATCTGGTACTGGACTAGGCAGGACCGGGACCTCGAAGAACCCATTAACTTCCGCCTGCCTGAGAACCGCATTAGCAAGGAGAAAGATGTGCTTTGGTTCCGACCCACCCTCCTCAATGACACGGGCAACTATACCTGCATGTTAAGGTAGCCTGACTCTCAGTGGTGATTTTCTCTTTCTCCTTTGCTTCCAGGCTTTATTTATATGATAAATGTGCCTTAAAACTGGGGTAGGGGGTTGGTGGGGAGAAGGAAGCATTTAGATAAAATTTTGCCTCACTTCAGGGGCTTATCGAAGGTGGGATAAAGGAGGTGTACAAAGAAAATAATTGTGCCTCTGACCATAGTGGTTTCTTTTCAGACCCAGACACATGTCAAAGTTGTTTGAAGTTGGACTGCCCTATTCCCATGATATTGGGATTTGCTACCTGGAGGCATCCATTACCCTAGAAAATGAATATGGCAGAGAGCAGAGTTCATTCATATCTGTTATTCTTGGCATCTTTCAAAGTGCCTGGCACAGCATAGACGTCAGGGTACCTTCATAAAAGAAAGAATATTTGAGAGGCATCAAATATATGTAGAACAATGTCTTTAAACTTCTCTACCAAAATTCCCCTCAGAAACCATGTCCTGCGGGGTTTAAGAATATAATCTAAAGCAGCCAATCATTATTGTAAAGCTTATTGAATCCATTGTTTACAATTTAACAATTGTGTAGAGCTTATATTTTACCCTACAATATGAATATTTTCTTTTACTACAGATTAATGTTGTCTTTGCTCAGAAAAAAATCTTCAAAAAGCAGAAGCAGCCCCCACCACCCCCCCCCAAAAGAATAATCACTGTAAGGCTTAGTTCTTTGGTAATATTTTACCCAGAATCCCTTTTTAGCTACCAGTCTTTGCTTTGTCTTCTAAACTCCAATCTGGATTATGTTTTTTGTTTCTTTTAATGTAATGTCCTACTATTAATTGGTCTATTGATTCGCTGAAACTACAAATCACAGCTGAGTGGCTTAAACAATAGAAGTTTATTTTGTCACAAATTTGGAGGCTAGAAGCTAAGATCAAAGTTGCAGGGTGTGTTTCTCATTGCCTTTCTCCTTGACTTGTGTATGTGGTTATCTTTCTCCATTTCTTTACTTGGTCTTCCTTCTGTGTGTGTCTGTGCCCTAATCTCTTCTTATAAGAACACTAGTTATATTATATACCTTAATTATATCTTTAAAGACAATATTTCCAAATACAGTCAAATTCTAAGGCACTATGTGTTAGTTCAACATTTGAATTGAAGGTGGGAACATAGTTCATCCTATATTAGTTAGTGATCCCATGTCCTTTCTCTGTTGTGGCTGTTAACTGTTCTTTGACAGCGAATTGTAACTATATTTTGATACATAATTAAACAAAAAGGACCTCTTCTCTATTGCAGAAAAGCCTTTGTATGCTGTGCCCTCAGGGGTCAATTTCCTCTGAAGGCCCTTCTGAGGCTTTCAGCTTATACTCAATTTATTAGAATGAACTCTAGATTGGTGGGGGGCTCCCAAAAAATAATAATTCTCTCATTATTTGTTTCCTGCCATAATTTAATATAAATTAAAACAGATTATATTGGAAAGAGCACTGTATGAGAAGGTAAAAAAATCAGGCCATGACTCCAGCTCTACCACTACTTAGCTGGTGAATTTAACAAGTTGTGTCTGCTTTGGGAGCTTTGTGTCTTTGTCCATACTATAAGAGGGATGACTACATGTTCTTTCAGCTCTTTTTCATCTTTGACAATTGTTAATCCATTAAGGTGTCCATAGTAAATGTCAGCAAACCCCTGGAGGAAGCCATCATCTGCTTGACTTTGGTCTCTACTACACGTTCTAGTGCTTTAGCATCTGTATTGCTTTTTGCTTGGTTACCTACTCCTTGCCTAGAGCTCTTCCCAAAATGTATCCAACCTTCTTTTACAGTTTAGAAATAGAGCTGTTTGACTGGTAGGGCTTCATATACCTCCAGTGTTATTTATCTTTCCTCAATGTACCTGTTTGCCCATTTTCCATGCGTCTAGAGCAAGTCTAGACTTGCAGCTGCCTGCAGGGGAACCTACAAAGCTGCCCCTAGCTGAGTAATAGACTAAGAATGGCCTTCAACCAAACCATGTGGAATCATAGGACTGGGTGTTTTCAAGGCTACAAAGTTACATTCTTCTTATATTTTACTGCTTCTATTCTTGCTCTAATGCTATTCAACTTTGGGAGTTGCCAAAGTCAGTCCAACTGCTATTCATCACTTTTATTACCATCAGAAAATATACAATTATATTAAAAGGAAATTTACTTTCTATAACTTCTACCTATAGAGACCTTCTTTCACATGTTAGGCCATTTGTTTTTTGTAGACAGAGATCATACCCACCCATCCTTCCTTCTTGCCATGTTCTTAGTATTGTTACAAGTTGTTTTTAATCATCTCTCCCTCATGTTTGGGAATACATGTCTCATGTCTTCCATCTTATTTAGTATTAATTCATAAGCTATCGAATGTCTACTATGCAGTTAGTGCTGTAGCTAGAAATCACAGACTCACTGTGATATCACTTTAAGTTATTATTTTTATCACTCACTGTTCCCTTTCTTGTTTTCTTATGTGTAGACACTACATTCCCTTAACAAATATTTTTCATCATCTATTAAAATTATAAACACTATACTAGATTCAGTGACTATAGTAAACATAATGGTCAAATGAAACTTATATTTTACTGAGGATATAGATGAGTGTCTATAATATGATCATATAATTTTGAATTATGATGAACTTAGTAAGAAAAATGCAAGATGCTTAATGAATAAGAGGCCTAATTTAGACACATGGTGTGTAAAGGATAGCAAAGAAGGGTAGGACTTCAGGCTAATGGACAAACCTATGCAAACATTATTATACAAATATGATTTCCCAGTCATTCTAAGAAGTTTTGTTTGTTTGTTTTTGATCTTTATATGTGATTGTTTTTGTAGGTGCTTATAATGATTTTAAATAGTGCACCATAGTTTTCTTTATATTCTTCCTTTTGTTTAATTTTTTTTATTGATTCTAATGTTTTCTAGCTCATATGGTGCTTGACAGACATTTTTTATTATCTGTTGTCCTTGTTTTCTTTTTCCATACTTTGATCAGATGAAAAAAATCCATACAAAAGATTATTTGGTCAAAAGGTAAGACTTTCAAAATTATTCTGGAAACATTTGTTTTCTAAAGGTTGTCTTTACCATTATCAACTGTGCTTAAGTAGGCCATTCTTATCTTCTTTACCAACATTAAATATTCCTGAGAATATTCTAAGTGGAAAAATTTAAATATACATACATGTTTAAAGTTATATATAAGGAAAAAATATTTTCATATATTCATAGTAAATAACTGTATTTGCTTTTTATTCTGTAATGCCAACTAGTATAGGGTAGTACACCTCAATAACTCATTTAATTTTTACATGAACTTACATATAGAAATGAAGTCTCAATTCAGTTCATTTTAATATGTTGCTGTATTAAATTAGATGCAAATGAGACTACCTGGTCATTGCATATTTCTCTTTTCAGGAACACTACATATTGCAGCAAAGTTGCATTTCCCTTGGAAGTTGTTCAGAAAGACAGTTGTTTCAAGTCCCCAATGAAACTCCCAGTGCATCGACTGTATATAGAATATGGTATTCAGAGGATCACTTGTCCAAATGTAGATGGATTTTTTCCTTCCAATGTCAAACCAGCCATCACTTGGTATAAGGTAAGAAACTAAGAGCACATTTACTTTTTTCTAAAGTGGTAATACTTATTTTGTGTGTTAAATGTAGAAGCTGAGATTTTCTCTGCAGATTTTCTGCTTTCTTCTTTAATAATTTTGTACAAATCTTTCACCACTTCCTGACTTTGTACTGCTTTAAAGGAAGAGGTCTGGGTTGCTTTGCATCAGCTTACCGTTTCTTAAGCCACATTCATTAGAATACCAGAACTAACATGTTTCTCTCAACTTCCTGTGGAACACATTTTGAGAAATGTTGCCCACTTCCACTCAGTGCTCATTGAAGTCAGACATTGCTGATTCATCTTGTGGATTCCAACTCCTTGATTACTCAGTACCACAATTTATTATTTATGTGCATTTTCTTGTTTGCCCTCATTTATGGGCACCATCCATTAGTGGACTCTTCCACATCTGAGAAACTTGGAAAATGTTTAATCAAAAAATCAAAGTGTTGGAAGGTGACACTTGTGGCAGCTGCATAGCTTTTGAATTCTTTCAAGTCTCCACATATACCAAAGACGGAAACTTATGGACAGTATTTACAGAAAAACTCAGTGACAAGTTCCCTATTGGAACTATTTTCAATAAGTAAGTGAAACAAGCCACCAACACCCTTAAGACCTACATGGAAGGGAGTGAAAAGAAGTATTGTGTTGTCTCGCAGACTTGAGGAGACTTTAAAACAGTTAACAGAAACTCACTGGGAATTGTGATAGGCCAACATAGGAACAGCACCTAAAATTGGGAAAGGTTTTGCTCTGTACGAGAAGGTGAATACAAGTAATCTATGGTAAGAAATTATGATCGAATTGAACCAGTTCTAGTGCTTTACTCAAAAAATGACCAGACACGCTGAGTAAAAGACGCTAAGAGTGGAAGGACACTTGTATAGTATGTAGGAGGTCATCCACAGCACTGCAGGGAAACAAACAAAGAAAATACCCAAATTGCATCAGAACAATATAGAGGAAGAAAAGACCAGGACTGGCTAAAAATGGAGGAAAGAAACAAGCCGTCTTAAAACCAAACCATCGTGGTTTTGAAGAGGAATGTCAATGTAGTTAGAAATATGCTATTTTCTAAACTCCAGAAAAAAACACCCCTAGTTTTGCATAAATGTGAGTAATAAAAAAAATCAAGGTAAAAATCCCACCCAAGTTACAAAGAAAAAGGAGAATAATAAACAAAATAACATCTCTGAAGAAAAAGAATATTATTACTGACTGATACAGTTGATACACTTTCTATACATATATGGATATGGAACATTGAAACTTTTCTAAGTCATTTTAAGAAGGGAAGTGGGGCAAGAGGGAGGGGATAAAACAAACCTTGGTACAATGTATGTATATACAGAAATGTCACAATGAAACCTACACAGCTATCATATAGTAATAAAAATATTTTAAAAAGACTAAAAAAAGTGAGATAAAGACATTAACTAAATAATAAATATGTGAAAAATAACATGATAAATAAAGTTAGAAAAGTTCAGAAATCATATAACTCATTAAAAATATAAAATGAGAAAACAGAAAATATACACATGCAATGCATAATGATTTAAGGTTAGTAGAAAATGAAAGGGAAAAAATTTTGCATATATAAGTATTAGATACAGGAGACTTTTAGACAATGAGTGTTACCAGAGATAAAGAGAACATTTCACAATAATGAAAAGGTCACTTCATTAAGAAGACATAAAAATACTAAAAGTATATGTGCCTTATAACAGTGCTTCAAAGTACATGAAGAGTTGGTAGAATTTAAGGGGGAAACAGATAATTTCACAATCATAGCTGAAAGTTTTAAATTTTGCTTCTAAGTTGTTAATGAAACAATAACCAACTTAAAGAGTCTTCATCAACCAAAGATGAACAATTTGAACTCAGTAAAGACAGCACTTGTGGTGGTTTCAGTCCAACAAAGTAAGTTTAAGTTCAAAGTGATATTTTTACAAATCTACTAGTTATATTTAAATGTTGATAAGAAATCAGTTCATTATCTTAAAAAGTACAAGCAAAGAAAAATAAGTATTTATTTTGTTTTTACTAGAAGAACCACACCATTGGTTAATGAAAAAATACATAGAAGTATGTTTTTATGAAAGTATTCCTAGTTAACAAGTAAAGGAAAATGTTAGAGTTGGAATGCCACTCTGCTATCCCCAACTGATTAATAAATCTAATCAGTAAGCATTAATTACTGCTAACATTAAAAAATGATAAACCACTGAATATGTTTCTTCTGATAAAAGAACACAGTATTACCTACAATTCTGTCAAATGGATTAAACCTGAGTCTAAACAAGCCTTGCATACCATTATTATCTGTAAGATACATAAAGAACATGGAAATATATTGAACTGCACCATGAGTTTGCAATCAGCAAAAATTAGACTCTGCAAAGCCAGATATGATGAGTTCATGCCTAAAAGGAAAGGCATGAAGTGAGGATAGGTTAAAAGAAACATAACATTTCAAAATTGGATGAAGCTATACATCTAAGGATGTACATATACATGATAAAATTAAAAATGAAATTGAAGTGATTTTACTATGAAAGTATATACAATGAGTACCGTGGGTGGGATGGTAAAGAAGGTCTGATTGACACAAGATATGTAGAAGTCCTCCAAGGAAGACTGGTAAAGTTCTGTTCCTATACCTGTCTGATAATTACAAAAATGTTTGTTTTGAAATAATTCATTAACTCATTCATTCAATAATTCATTAAATAATTGCTTTGATATAATTTATTAACATATATATACATATATGTCTATATATTTATTGAGTATTTTTGTATATGTTTTATTTTATAATAAAGTTACTAAGAGAAAGGAAGACTGGATGGAAGGAGGAAGGGAGCCAAGGAGAGTGAGAAGAGGGAGAAGAGGGAAGAGGAAGGAGGGAATGCGAGCAGGGTAATGGGAGAATAGGAGGAGAATGAGGAGGGAGGGAAAGAAGGGGGGTGAAGAGAGAGAGATTTAAGAGATACAATAATCAATTGCAATGAATAGACCATAATTGAATCCTCTTTCTTTCAAATAAATTATAAAAAAAATTTTAAGAAAATCAGGGAATTATGACATAGAATATTGATGATATCAGTGAATTACTACTTTATAAACATGCTAACAATACAGTAGTTGTACTTGTAGAGGGAGTGTTATAATTTAGACACCCACACAGAAATATTTGCAAATGCAATTACATGATAGCTATGATTTACATCAAGATAAACTTTGGTAGAGTGAGTGGATATAGATGAAATAAAACATGGACTAAATTCATACTTGTTAGGGCTAGTGAGAGTACAGGGGCTCTTTTTATGTTGTGTCTGTAATTATCATTTTCCATAGTAAACAGCATATATCCTTGAGTTCCAAAACAGTAAGTGTATTCACCCTCAACCAAGATTCCTAACCTCTAAATTTATCTGCTTTTTTAGTTGTGTTCTCATACCCATTCTCTCATCTTCTACTCCTCCTTTCACTCATGTGTTCCCTCTACCAAGGATACTCTTTTCTTCCTTTAGAACAGGTGAAATTCTGTGCCTTCATGAACTGTTCCTTATTTCTTCTGGTTGGAAATTGTTTACCTATGTAATCCCAGGGCTATTTATTTATGCTGGTTTTATTTCACTTTTCACTAATGTGTCTTACATTTTCCTTGTACAAGGCAGTATGCTACCTACTTTATATGCTATCGTATTGCAACACTTATCACAACTCTGCAAGGTAGGAGAAATCTTTTTTTAATAGAGTAGGAATGGGGAATATAAAAATGTAAGTAATTATAACTAGTAAGTACAAGGATTGTTTCAAATGACTTACTTTATTCTCTCAACATCTTTTTGGAATATTTCTTCTGTTTTCCCACACTTTATAAAAGGAAACTGCGTTAGTCTTTTTGTTACTGTGAACAAAACACCTGAAAGAAACAACTTAAGGGAGGAAGGATTTATTTTGGTTCACAGTTTTGGAGGTTTCAGTCCATGCGCTATTGACTACATTAGTTTTGGGCCTGTGGCAAGGCAGAAACATCAGGCTGGAGGGACATGGTGGAGAAAAGCTGCTCACATCATGACAGTCAGGAAGCAGAGAGACAGACAGGAAGGGGTTACACAGGAAGGGGTTGAGAACAAGATACCCTTCCAATACACACCCCTAGTGACCTACTTCCTCTAACTAGGGCCTACCTATAATAGTCTATTCACTATGAATTAATCAATGGATTATGAAGATAGCGCCCTCATGAACCAATCACCTCTAAAAAGCCCATCAGCTGACAACCAAACCTTTAACACATGAGCCTTTGGGGGGCATTTTTAGATTTAAACCATAACAAAAACCTAGGTATTAGCACAGTTGAGCAATTTGCTGAAAGCCACAGGGCTAGAGCCAAAATTTAACCCTATGTTTCAAGAATCTACACTTTCATATTATCTTCTGTAGTTTACTCAAAACAGTCCAGCTACAAATGGAAGAGTCTGAGATTTCAGGTCTGTTCCATGTGGCTCCAAAGTCTGTACACAACAGGACTGATATGGAAAAGGTGGTCCAATCTCTGCTTTTAGAGCATAGGGCCATTAAAGGATAGGGTAATCTTTGAACATATATTTGGTTGTGTCTGGATAAAGCTGGGAAATTTGAAACACCTCTGACAAACTGACACTGGAGAGAACAGAAAGACAAATGCTTCTATTTCAGAACTTCAGGGGAAATGGGATGGGAGTGAGTCTTCCTCCTCTGCCTATCTTCTCTTCCTCTGTCCTCTCTTCTGCATGTCAGGATTTCTTTAACTCAGGACACAGAATTCACAGTTCTCTAATTCAACAATCCTGTGAGGAAAATTGATGTTCAGTACATGTTTGTTGAATAAGCCAGGTTTTGTAACTATCCTGGAAAGCAAACCATAGTTTGTAAGTGATTTACTGAATTTCAAATAGCCAGTTTATCAAAGAACTTCTGGAACAC